TGGCAGTCAGGAAGGCGTTCGGGATGTGATCACTCAGCGGCGGGCCCCTGACTGGAGCGGGTTCGGCGCAGTTGAGGGCTTCATGGAGATGGGAAGCAGGGAAGAGCAATGGCAGGGGAGTGTAGCATCAATGTCATCAACATATGTGTGTATGCAGTGCAATAAAGCCCGTGGATGCGAGGGGCTCGAGTCACGGTGGATTAATGGATAAACAACCCCAACTTACCATCTGCGGGGTCAACGTGAATGGCCTCGGAAGCAACGGCAAACGAACAAAGCACCGGACTTGGCTTAGGAGAGCGGCAGATGTAGTGGTGCTCTCGGACACAAGGATTAAAGAAGATCACAACTTCTGGAGTGAGATCAAATCAACGGCTTGGGCTACATCGAGCACGGACAAGGGTGCAGGAGGGGTGGCGATCATTGCGTTCAGAAGGCACTTACGGTTTACGGATGTTATGACCCACCACACGGGGAGGCTGCTTGGGGTGACGGTGGAAGGAGGCGAGACGTCATTTCGACTGATTGCGGCCTACCTCCCAGCGCAGCCGGGCAATCGGACGAAGATCCATGCGGAGCATCTGGTCCCCTTCGCCCGTGCCCAGCCGGCGGGGATGCACCTGGTGCTGGCAGGGGATCTCAACATAATAGCGGACCCGGATATGGATAGGTCATCACACACGGGGACCAGCAAGGAAAACCAGAGATTTTTGGAGGCTTGGTCGGCGTTCGACCTCAAGGATGCTTTCAGGATGCTCAATCCCGAGGAGAGACAGTACACTTTTCACGCGCGGCCATCGGACACCAAGACCAGGATTGATAGGGCTCTGGTGTCGACCTCGCTGCTCGGGCATCTTACGGAGGCGCGGCACGTGTGGGTGCCGAAGAAGCTGTCGGATCACCGCTTCGCGATACGTGTCGGCCTCGCCTTCAAATCGGAGCACACTGGCGGGCCGGGGATCTGGAGGTTTCAGGCGACAAGGGCAAATCGGAAGGGAGTTAGAGCGGTGATTCAAAAGGTCATGGGGGGGACGGAGGCGCAGCGCAGTCGGACACCGGTGCAGAACCTCGGGCGGCTCAGTGCTGCTCTGCGGGTGCACGAAAGAGAGGAAAGAAAGCGGGTTACGGCAACCAGGGAGCATCTGGAGGCTGAGGTCACGAAGCTGAACCACCTGGTCATGGCGGGCCCAACGGATGCCGGCATGAAGGAGAGGTTGTTGGCGAAGGAGGCGCAGCTGGAGGGTTATCAGGAAAGCGAGAGGGAGAGACTGCAGGTTTTGGCCGGGCTGGATCTGGAGCTACACGGGGAGGTCCCGTCGCCATACCTCTCTGCCAAAGTTAAAATAAGGAAGGACAAGACACTCATTAAGGAGGTTGAGTTCAAGGGGAAGCGCTTTCACGGCTCGCAGGAGGTGCTGGAAGCGGCTTCGGAGCACTTCCGGGACGCTTTCAGAAGCCAGGACGGTCAGAGCCTGCAAGAGGAGAGGAGCATTGAAGTGCTCAGAAGGCTACCTGAGGACGAGGCGGCGAAGCTGGGCGCCCCGTGGACGGAAGAAGAGGTGAAGGAGGCGCTGGAGGGTTTGCCGAGGGGCAAGTCGCCGGGCAAAGACGGACTGCCACCGGAGCTGTTCAGGATGCACGGGGATCTGCTGGGGGGGCCGCTGGTGGAGTTCGCAAAAAGTTTTGAAAGGACGGGGGTCCTGGACGAATCGATCACTACGGCGGTCACGGTTCTGCTGCACAAAAAAGGACCGACGGATCAGTTGGGCAACTACAGGCCCATCACTCTGCTCAGCACGCTGTATAAGGTGTTGGCAAAGTTGATGGCGAACAGGATTAAACGTGTCCTTCACCTGGTGGTGTCGGAGGAGCAGCACGGTTTCATCCCGGGAAGAAGCTTGGCGGACGCGGTGTCGGTGGTAGCAGACGCGGTGGAGGCGGCAGACAATGGGGGGGAGGATTGGTTTCTCCTCATGGTCGACTTCCAGAAGGCATATGATACGGTGGCGAGGCCGTACCTTTTTGAGACAATGCGGAAATTGGGAATACCGGAGGTTTTTATTAAGTGGACAGAAGGGTTGCATCGCGGCTCTGGGACGACGTTGGCGATTAATGGTTGGCTCGGCGAAAAGGTGGAGATGCAGAGGGGGGTGCGGCAGGGCTGCCCGCTGGCGCCGTACCTCTTCTTATGCGCGCTGGAGCCTTTGTGCCTGGAAATCAAGAAGAAGGGTTTGGGGGTAAAGCCGGAGGGAGGAACGGAGTTGGCATATGTGGGATATGCGGACGACACAACACTCATCCTGGATGGGGTCGAGCAGCTCAAGGCGGCGTCAGAGGTTCTGGAGCGGTTTGGGCGGTTGTCAGGCCTGCGGACGAACACGGAGAAGTCAGTGGTTATGCCGCTGGGAAGGAACAAAGGGAAACAGACGGCAGAAGGGGTACCTTTTAAGTGGGCGGAAGCCGGGGTGCCGGAGCGCCTGCTAGGCATCTGGATAACGCCGGAAGGGGATGCGAGCCCGTCCTGGGAGAAGGCATGGGAGCGGGGAAAAGGGGAGCTGGCAAAGTGGGAGTGTCAGCACCTCCTCACAGCGGCAAGGGTAACGGTCATTAACGCGTATATTATGCCGATCTTCATTTTCCAAGCGCAAATATACCCACCGCCGGAGGAATTATGGAAGCGGATCCAGAAGACGTGTGACAACTACGTCTCGAAGGGTCAAGCCACGGCGGAGAGAATCTTCGTTCTGTGGAGCGGGGAATTGGCGCGGCTGCCAAAGAAGGAAGGAGGTTTGGGGCTGGTAGACCCCAAGGCGAGAATAGACAGCAGGGCGGTCAGGATGGTGGCAAAGATGCTGGCGGAGAAAGACCCGACGAAAAAGTGGCTAGCGGTGAAAGCGGCAGCGTTGCCGCAGGGGGAGGCGACACTGTATGCAGACCCGTCAGCAGGGAAGCACTGGCCGGGGGGCAGCCGGCGCTGGAAGGCGGCAGTGGAGGCTTTCTGGGAGACCCCATATGCGCAGCTGCCAGAACCGGCGAGCGGCTGGGAGGTGGAGCAGGAGCAGCTGTGTTTCAACCGCAGGATTATGTACAGGGGGAAGAGTCCGTACGGCAATCAACAAGGGACGGAAGGGATACACAGAGTGAAAATCGGCGCGCTAATATCTGATGACATGGTAGGGGTGTGCACGGTGAAGAGCAAGGAGACAGTGAGGACGGAGCTGGGGGGCGTGGCAGCGGCCAGGTGGGCGTTGATGGCGCTTGCAGCGACGGCAAAAGAATGGAAGGAAGTGATTGCAGCGGGGAAAACGGCGGAAAAGTTGGTGGCAGTGGCGACAGTTGTCAGAACTTTCTTACCACGGACACAGGAGTACCTTTACTGGAAGGTAAAGGGGGTGGCGGAGGAGATGGTAGCAGTAACGAGCCTGGAGGTAACGAAGGACGGGAAGCTGGAAGAATGGGAGACACCGGTCGGGGCGACTTTCAGGCCAAAGCATGTGGAACCGGTAGCCACCAGGGGCGGCAGGGTGCTGGGAGCGATGGGGGCCCCGGCGACACGGCTCATGCAGACTAAGTTGCTAGATGATGACGGGGCGCCGGCGAAGATTAAAGTAATTAGGCGGGTGCTGGCGGGGCCGGTGACGACGTCTTGGAAGAGGAATGAGTGGGAAGCAGCGTGGGGGAGGAAAATAGACTGGAGAAAGGTGGAAAGCAAGAGGGACTCGTTGGTGACACCCATCAGGGCAAGGGATGTGCTGCTGAGAATGCACAATCTGAACCTACAGGTGGGCGGCAGGCTGAAATTCCTGGGGGAAAGGGCGCGCTGTTCACATTGCGGGGAGCCTGAAACCCTAGAACATTGCATGTTCAGTTGCCCGCTGGTCCAACCGGTGATCGGCGCGCTGCAGAGATCTTTGCAGTTGTTGGGCCAAGCGGGCAACCCGAACTCGCTCGGTGCGCTGCTTTTTTATGAGGGGGGCACGAAGTAAGGGTTTCCTGCGTCAACCTTAGTGGCCACAACATTCCGCCACATCTGGCTGGCGAGATGTGGCATGGTCTGGAGGGGGGAAGTTTTTCAGCGGAAGAAGGTGGCAAGAGGGGCAATCAGAGATTTCGCGCTGCATGCTCAGGTGTATCGCACGGAGCTGACTCGGAGAGCACGCAGGTCAGGTACAGCGAAGCAGGGGAAGGACCCGTGGCGAGATCTGAAGGGTGACGAGAGAGCGGCGGTGGCTCTACTCAGTGAGCCAGGTGAAAAGGCCACGTGGAGCGATGGGTTTCTCTCCATCTGGCGCAATCCCAGAACGATCAGGCAGCCCCCGTAGAAGCCTCATGGAGGGGTGACCCCGGTAGTGGCACTAACATGTTGGTACCAGGGTAGGTCCTCTCCAGAAAATCAGTTACGACTGAGGATGTATGCGCTTTTATAGTGTAATAACATTAAAAAAAAAAAAAACTGTACAGCATCATGTGTGTGCATCCCACACCTGATGCCTCTGTCTGAATCCCTCACTGCTCGCTTGCTTGAGCAGCAACCCGCCACACGACCATCAATCAAAGCCCTCTGTGAAGCAGACAGGGTTTCATTGGGCTTGTTGCTCCTTTCCTGAGAAACCATTGCCAGCTTCATTCATCCGGATCCTGTGCTGCTGCTTCTCTCTCTCCTTATCAGGCGTAGGCTGTTGGTCGGTCTGGGATCTCCCCGTGCACCTGCTCCTCCCACACTGCTCTGCCTGGTTCTATTACTGTAATTAGTCGCGCTCTGCACCTTTTCGTGAAGTACATCGACAAGCCTCAGCATCAGCTATCAAAGCAGCTGTTTTGAAGCGTTTTGTTTCAAGCTGCAGCAATCTGCCGCGACCTTACTCTTCTTCTAGCCACCACCGCGACCTTGCTTCGTCTCGAGGACTCACGACCGTACCTTCATCTATCAAAGTAACTCTTTGAGTCGTGACCCTTTTCTTCTCCTTTTTAGCGTACCGCCGTCAGCCATGGATTACGCAATGGAGGATCACCGCCGTCCCCGGCGGTCCCTTCAGCTTGACCAACTCGAGCGTCCGTCTCACAACCCGGTAATTCAAAGCTCGTTATACTCACCATACGCGGCGCAGATTTCCCGTCGCCGACGCTCGCTCGACGCGACAATCCACACCACAAACCCTCATCAGCAGCAGCCACAACAGCAACAGCAGCAGCAGGAGCATCTGGGCCGTCCGATCTACGTGCCGTGTCGCGAGAGCAGCGTGCACGCGCATCCCGACGCGGAGGCTTCGCAACACAGCTCCGAAAGCGGTGACGAGGTTTGCTCAGGACAGAGCCTCGCTACCAAGACTACTACTAAGAGTTCTCTTGGTGCTGCTACTGCTACTGCCGCTGCCACAACCGGTCTTCAACGGCCGCAAACGGCGGCCGGCATCATGAACGACCCGTTTCCGCCTGAAGCGGCGTACTTTTCAACAAGGGACCGCGGCGCCACGGATTACATGAACGTCGACGAGCCTGCGCGGTTCGGCGCAACGGCTAATACTCCCGCCAACTTCGGCGCAGCTTCCCCTTGGATTTTTGGCGCTGCTATTCCCGCAGCTGCGAGAGCTGATACGAAGGCGCGGACGCCGCCGGCGCCGGGCGCGGGGGTCGCGGCCAGCCGGCGGCTCCGCGCAAACAGCGCGACGCTTCCAGCGGCGTTTGGAGGGGAGCAGGAGGCTGCGGAGTGGGTGGATTGGTCGAACGTGGATTGCGCGTTCCAACCCGACGGGCTCATGCAGGCGCGCGCCGCCATGATCGAGCAGTGCCGGCAGAACTCGCGGCGCGCGCCTCTGGGCGCTTCGGTTCCGATGATGGCGGATTAAGGGGTTGCGTGGGCGCACGCAAGCACGTGGAAGCTTGCGCAAGCTTGTGAAAGCTCGTGCAGGCTTGCGCAGGTTCGTACAGGCTTGTGTTCATTCTGCTGCTAGGATCGAGCAGGGCCGGCAGAACTCCTGGCGATTGTCGGTCTTCCGCGCGTCGGTTCTTATAATGGCGTATGGGAGCTCGTGGCGCGAGAGAAGTGGGGCTGGACGCACGTTTGGTAGCATGTCCAAGGGTAGTTATGGAATCAACCCAAGATGTCAAATCATGCCGGGAAATCATGCTAGTGCATGATACTGTCGGGATATGCGTGCCGCTTAGTTGCAGCATGATACCATGTATGATTACGAGCCTGTGTGCTACTATCATGCTCTGTGCGGTCAACGTGTGAGCCTACTAGTAGGGTTTTGAGATACTTCACCTTATTTTGCACGAACCTTGAGATGAATTTCAGAACTCAGATTTTTGTAATGGCGACTCTGAATATTACTGTTTGGTTTTTTCGGATTACTTTACCGTTATTATTTGTTTCTTACCTAAGTGCTGATCAAAGCTGAGCTGAAATTAAACGTTGCTGTAACTCTGTCTAAACAAAGTGCTAATTGGTAGCACCCACCGCGTACACCCGCACCGCGACAGCCATGGCACCGAGGATGCATTGATCGCGGTTCAGCAATCATACGCCAGACCGACACGTTCAGGAACACGCCGCGCAATCGTATTCAGATTCCCGCGAGATGCGGGGAGTCGGAACTGCTTGGGAATACTGATTGACTCAACATTATCCGTCTCAACTCGACGACTTACGAACCCGATTTCTACAGACGGAGTCGCTGACCCTGACCCTGGCATGTCCGGACAACCGACGTAGACGTAAACGGTGACGGAGAGATAGAGACGTAGACGTAGACAGAGACGGAAACGTAGACAGAGCTTCTAATTCTGACCCTGACCCTGACGTATCCGGGGGTGGCGCATTCCGCACGAAGATGTTTGCGGAAGCAAATTACGACCACAATATTACTCGCGCGTTCCGCGCGACCCAACTCAACTATCCGTTGTGAAATTCGCGTCTGACCCGACTGCCCTCGACCTGCATTTCGAGAAGCAACGAGAAGTGACCAGCTCGATAGGAACAACCGTTTCCGAAAATCGCGTCGCGCGTGATTAATCGCAAATAGGTTTACTAACCTTTTTAAGAATGACTCTCAGCTCGCTAGCTCCGGTCAGAACCCTCCTTTTGACTCGCCAACTATTGCGGCGCGGAGGCGCGTGGCACGCGGCTCCAGGGCCGATGATCGCCGTCCGACATGGCCGTAGAGAGCGCCACGAGTTAAGCGCTCCGTTAACAGGTACGCGACGCGATCTTTCGGCTTTAGGTTAGGTAGGCTTTAACAACCCGTCCCTGCGCGCGCGAGATCTCCGTGCGTTATCCCTGCATGCGGTACCCCCGCTTGCGCTACCCCCCCGTGCGTTATCCCTGCATGCGGTACCCCCGCTTGCGCTACCCCCCCGTGCGTTATCCCTGCATGCGGTACCCCCGCTTGCGCTACCCCCCCGTGCGTTATCCCTGCATGCGGTACCCCCGCTTGCGCTACCCCCCCGTGCGTTATCCCTGCATGCGGTACCCCCGCTTGCGCTACCCCCCCGTTCGTTATCCCTGCATGCAGTACCCCCCCTTGCGCTTCCCCCCGTGCGTTATCCCTGCATGCGGTTACCCCCGCGGGCGCCCGCGTTACCCCATTTCAAGTTCCGCGCTTCCCCCTCCTCTTTGCGCAGTGCAGGCGCGCGCGGGGAGGCGCGAGGCCGGAATTGCTCTTGGTGGCGCGCGGGGGAAAGGGGAAGGACGGAACCCGCTTCTGGCGGGAGTGAGTGGGGAAGAACAGGAAACCGCTCGGCGAGTGCTGGAACTGGTAGGTGGAGGGGCAAAGGGGGAGGGGGCTATTCCTAGGGGGGAAGAGGGAGGCTGGGATCAACACGGGGGGAGAAGGGCGAGGGGCGGAACCCCCTGCTGGCGGGAGTGAGCGGGGAGGAGCAGGAGACTGCCCGCCGAGTGCTGGAGCTGGTAGGTGGGGGGGCAAAGGGGGAGAGGGCTATTTCTAGGGTTCCTAGGGGGGAAGGGGGGAACCTGGAGACCAACACCAGGGGGAAGGGCGAGGGGCGGAATCCCCTGCTGACGGGAGTGAGCGGGGAGGAACAGGAGACTGCGCGCCGAGTGCTGGAGCTGGTAGGGTGGGGAAGGGTAAGGGGAAGGGGAAGTGGAAGGGGAAGGGGAAGGGGAAACGGGAGGAAGATGAGGGAGTGAGCGGGGAGGAGCAGGAGACTGCTCGCAGATTGCTGGAGCTGGTAAGAGGGAGGGACGGGAAGGGAAGGGGAGCGGGGCTATGCTATTTCCAGGGCAGAGGGGGTGAAGGGGAAGCCTGGTAGGGTGGGGGGGTGGGGGGTAGGTGGGGTGGGGCTATGCTATTCCCAGGGCAGACGTGGTGAACCGTGAAGGTGGGAGGATTGGTGGCACACGGGGAAGGGCGAGGCTGGGATTGGTGGCACACGGGGAAGGGCGAGGCTGGGATTGGTGGCCACGGGGAAGGGCAAGGCTGGGATTGGTGGCACACGGGGAAGGGCGAGGCTGGGATTGGTGGTACACGGGGAAGGGCGAGGCTGGGATTGGTGGCACACGGGGAAGGGCGAGGCTGGGATTGGTGGCACAGGGGGAAGGGCGAGGGGGGGAACCCCCATTGCTCGTGCGTTTTCCTTCCATTCCCCCTCTCCCTTTCCCCTTATCTTCCCCAATCCGCAGGCCGATCGTTCCCTTGCCTCCTATTCAGTGCTGCACTCTGCATTCCTCTCCCCCGCCTCCCAACCCGCCATCATGCCCATCCTTCCCTTCCCCCTCATCTCAGGTTGATCGCTCCCTCGCCTCCTATTCAGTGCTGCACTCTGCATTCCTCTCCCCCGCCTCCCAACCCGCCATCATGCCCATCCTTCCCTTCCCCCTCATCTCAGGTTGATCGCTCCCTCGCCTCCTATTCAGTGCTGCACTCTGCATTCCTCTCCCCCGCCTCCCAACCCGCCATCATGCCCATCCTTCCCTTCCCCCTCATCTCAGGTTGATCGCTCCCTCGCCTCCTATTCAGTGCTGCACTCTGCATTCCTCTCCCCCGCCTCCCAACCCGCCATCATGCCCATCCTTCCCTTCCCCCTCATCTCAGGTTGATCGCTCCCTCGCCTCCTATTCAGTGCTGCACTCTGCATTCCTCTCCCCCGCCTCCCAACCCGCCATCATGCCCATCCTTCCCTTCCCCCTCATCTCAGGTTGATCGCTCCCTCGCCTCCTATTCAGTGCTGCACTCTGCATTCCTCTCCCCCGCCTCCCAACCCGCCATCCTGCCCATCCTTCCCTTCCCCCTCATCTCAGGTTGATCGCTCCCTCGCCTCCTATTCAGTGCTGCACTCTGCATTCCTCTCCCCCGCCTCCCAACCCGCCATCATGCCCATCCTTCCCTTCCCCCTCATCTCAGGTTGATCGCTCCCTCGCCTCCTATTCAGTGCTGCACTCTGCATTCCTCTCCCCCGCCTCCCAACCCGCCATCATGCCCATCCTTCCCTTCCCCCTCATCTCAGGTTGATCGCTCCCTCGCCTCCTATTCAGTGCTGCACTCTGCATTCCTCTCCCCCGCCTCCCAACCCGCCATCATGCCCATCCTTCCCTTCCCCCTCATCTCAGGTTGATCGCTCCCTCGCCTCCTATTCAGTGCTGCACTCTGCATTCCTCTCCCCCGCCTCCCAACCCGCCATCATGCCCATCCTTCCCTTCCCCCTCATCTCAGGTTGATCGCTCCCTCGCCTCCTATTCAGTGCTGCACTCTGCATTCCTCTCCCCCGCCTCCCAACCCGCCATCCTGCCCATCCTTCCCTTCCCCCTCATCTCAGGTTGATCGCTCCCTCGCCTCCTATTCAGTGCTGCACTCTGCATTCCTCTCCCCCGCCTCCCAACCCGCCATCCTGCCCATCCTTCCCTTCCCCCTCATCTCAGGTTGATCGCTCCCTCGCCTCCTATTCAGTGCTGCACTCTGCATTCCTCTCCCCCGCCTCCCAACCCGCCATCATGCCCATCCTTCCCTTCCCCCTCATCTCAGGTTGATCGCTCCCTCGCCTCCTATTCAGTGCTGCACTCTGCATTCCTCTCCCCCGCCTCCCAACCCGCCATCATGCCCATCCTTCCCTTCCCCCTCATCTCAGGTTGATCGCTCCCTCGCCTCCTATTCAGTGCTGCACTCTGCATTCCTCTCCCCCGCCTCCCAACCCGCCATCATGCCCATCCTTCCCTTCCCCCTCATCTCAGGTTGATCGCTCCCTCGCCTCCTATTCAGTGCTGCACTCTGCATTCCTCTCCCCCGCCTCCCAACCCGCCATCATGCCCATCCTTCCCTTCCCCCTCATCTCAGGTTGATCGCTCCCTCGCCTCCTATTCAGTGCTGCACTCTGCATTCCTCTCCCCCGCCTCCCAACCCGCCATCATGCCCATCCTTCCCTTCCCCCTCATCTCAGGTTGATCGCTCCCTCGCCTCCTATTCAGTGCTGCACTCTGCATTCCTCTCCCCCGCCTCCCAACCCGCCATCATGCCCATCCTTCCCTTCCCCCTCATCTCAGGTTGATCGCTCCCTCGCCTCCTATTCAGTGCTGCACTCTGCATTCCTCTCCCCCGCCTCCCAACCCGCCATCATGCCCATCCTTCCCTTCCCCCTCATCTCAGGTTGATCGCTCCCTCGCCTCCTATTCAGTGCTGCACTCTGCATTCCTCTCCCCCGCCTCCCAACCCGCCATCATGCCCATCCTTCCCTTCCCCCTCATCTCAGGTTGATCGCTCCCTCGCCTCCTATTCAGTGCTGCACTCTGCATTCCTCTCCCCCGCCTCCCAACCCGCCATCATGCCCATCCTTCCCTTCCCCCTCATCTCAGGTTGATCGCTCCCTCGCCTCCTATTCAGTGCTGCACTCTGCATTCCTCTCCCCCGCCTCCCAACCCGCCATCATGCCCATCCTTCCCTTCCCCCTCATCTCAGGTTGATCGCTCCCTCGCCTCCTATTCAGTGCTGCACTCTGCATTCCTCTCCCCCGCCTCCCAACCCGCCATCATGCCCATCCTTCCCTTCCCCCTCATCTCAGGTTGATCGCTCCCTCGCCTCCTATTCAGTGCTGCACTCTGCATTCCTCTCCCCCGCCTCCCAACCCGCCATCATGCCCATCCTTCCCTTCCCCCTCATCTCAGGTTGATCGCTCCCTCGCCTCCTATTCAGTGCTGCACTCTGCATTCCTCTCCCCCGCCTCCCAACCCGCCATCATGCCAATCCTTTCCCAAATGCCCCACCTCTTTGCAATCCTTTCAGCCTTTCCTCTCCTTCTTGACACTCCTTCCTCATTCCCCAGGCCGATCGTTCACTCACCTCCTATTCGGTTCTGCACTCTGCCTTCCTCTCCCCGGCCTCTCAACCCGCCATCATGCCCATTCTCTCTCAGACGCCTCACATGTCTGCCCTTCCTCTCTGCCGTCACTCTCCCCACACCCTTTCCCCATTCTTCAGGCCGATCGTTCGCTCGCCTCCTATTCAGTGCTGCATTCATCCTTCCTCTCCCCCGCCTCCCAAGCCGCCATCATGCCCGTCCTCTCCAACATGGCTGACGTCACTGCCATCCTCTCCGGTGGTTACTTCCAGGTACGTACGTGCTCATCCTTTCCCTCCTTCCAATGTGTTCATCTCTGGTGGTAAGTACTTCCGTCTGTGTTGCTCTCAGGTGTGTTATTTCCAGGTCTGTGGTTACCCTCCCTCTCCTCTCCCCCGCCTCTCAACCCGCCATCATGCCCATCCTCTCCAACATGGCTGACGTCACTGCCATCCTCTCTGGCGGTTACTTTCAGGTGTGTTTCAGGCGCTTACTTTCATATGTTTCAGGCAGTTACAAAAAAATAGAATACCCCATATTTTCACGTATGTGGTACCCCTCCCAACCCTCCCTCCACTTTTCTTAGTGGTACTTGCGCGTCTCTTTTCACTCTTTTCTTTAAAGGTTGATGTTGAGAATTCTCAAAATCACCCTCTCTCCACTTTTCGAGCAGCTCTTGTGTGCGTCTCTTTCCACTCTCTCCCCACCCTCGCCTCACCCCTCAGGTTTTTGAGAATTCTCAACAAGCACCACCCTCACCAGCTTGAGCAGCTCTCGTGTGTCTCTTTCCACTCTCTCTCCACCCTCGCCTCTCCCCTCAAAAGCCCCGCCCTCCATCCCACCAACACCACAGGGAGAGCGGTGCACAGGGTGCACAAGGTTTTCGAGCAGCTCTTGTCTTGTGCGTCTCTTTCCACTCTCTCCCCACCCTCGCCTCTCCCCTCAAAGCCCCGCCCTCCATCACTCCAACACCACAGGCAGAGCGGGCGGTGCAGGATTTCAGTGGGGCCCACGGAGCTGAATGGCAGCAGAGGGAGTGGATGTGAATGGTTGGCACTGTCGGTGCAACCCAGATGAATTCCAAGGCACACATAACTCTATCGCCTTTTTTCCCTCCCTCAATCCAAAACCACAGGCAGAGCGGTGCCGGGTGTCAGTGGGGCTCACACAGAGCTCATGGCAGCAGAGGGAGCGGGTGCAGATGCTGCTAATGGCACACAAGCCGCCTGTCCCTCTTCCCTTACCCCCAACGCACCCATCATATACAGGATTTCTGTGGGACCTGCAGAGCTGATGGCAGCAGAGGGAGGGGGTGCAGATGCTCCTGCTGATGGTGCCAACAGTCGCCCGTCCCTTCTCTCTTCCCCACCTCCCTGCATCCACAGGCAGAGCGGTGCAGGGTATTGCTGGGGCCTGCACAGCTGATGGCAGCGGAGGGAATGGGTGCGGATGCTGTTAATGGTACACAAGCCGCCTGTCCTTCCCTCCTCTCTTACCCCCAGCGCTTCCATCAAATACAACAGGCAGAGCGGTGCAGGGTCTCAGTGGGACCTGCAGAGCTGGGAGGGAGTGACTGCAGGTGCTGCTAATGGCACACAAGCCGCCTGTCCCTCTTCCCTTACCCCCAACGCTTCCATCACATACAACAGGCAGAGCGGTGCAGGGTGTTAGTGGGGCTCACAGAGCTGATGGCAGCAGAGGGAGTGGGTGCAGATGCTGCTGCTGATGGTACCATCCACAATCAGCCCTTGCCCGTTTCTCTCTCCCTCGTCTCCCTCCCTCTCTCCCTCCCTCCCGCCCTCCTCCCTCCAACACCACAGGCGGAGCGGTGCAGAGTCTCAGTGGGACCCACAGAGCTGATGGCAGCGGAGGGAGTGGGTGCAGACGCTGCTGCTGATGATGCTGTACCAGCACTGGCAGCTGGGTACCCAGGAGCCGTTGCAGCAGTGAGGTGATGCTTTCATATGCGCATTGCACGAGTGAGATGCTTGGTTTTGGGTGCCTAAGACACGCACATAGCAGAAAGAGAGTGGGTGCAGACGCTGCTGCTGATGATGCTGTACCAGCGCTGGCAGCTGGGTACCCAGGAGCCGTTGCAGCAGTGAGGTGATGCGCGGTTCTAGGTGTATATAGCAGCATGGGAGTGGGTGCGGGTGTTGCTGCTGATGATGCTTTGCCTGATGCTGTACCAGTGCTGGCAGCTGGGTTCCCAGGAGCCGTTGCAGCAGTGAGGTGAGGCTTGCATATGAGCATTGGAGGAGTGTTGTGTTTGGTTTCAGTTACCCGGAAACTGCTGCTGCTGCTGATGGTGCCTTGGCTGATGCTGTACCAGTGCTGGCAGCTGGGTACCCAGGAGCCGTTGCAGCAGGTGATAGTGCTGGTTTTTTAGGTGCATAAAGCAGCATGGGGGTGTGGGTGCTGCTGCTGATGATGCTCTATGGGCCATGCTGTACCAGCGCTGGCAGCTGGGTACCCAGGAGCTGTTGCAGCAGTGAGGTGATAATGCTGGTTTAGGTGATCAGGAGGGGGGCGAGGGAGGGAGGGAGAGAGTGGGGGTGCTGATTATGGTGCCACGGCCCATACTGCACCTGTGCTGGCAGCTGGGTACCCAGGAGCAGTTGCCGCAGTGAGGTGAGGCGTGGTTCTAGCTGCACATAGCAGCAGTGAGGTGTATTGGCGCTTAGAGTTTGTGCTCATGGTATTGTACGATGATGTAAGCTAGCACCTAGTAGCGTGTCAAAGCTAGTAATGTGAGTATGTGCGACATCTAAAACTCAGAAATGTGAGGCATCTAATACTGGCAGGGGATACACCTCGCATATCTGAAGACTGGACCCCCTGTTCCTCCTACCCGTCGGTGTCTCCCTTCGTTCTGCATTCTGCCCAACAGGGTATCAGGCGCGTTCAAGCAAACGACAGTGTCACACGGTGACTTCCTGGGAGCAGTGCTGGGGACGGGGATCACAAGAGACAAAGTTGGCGACGTCATTCTTCTGGTGAGCCTACGCTACGTTTACTCGAATACGAGACGCGAGTATTACTCGATGTACGAGACTCCTTGTCATCACACCCACCAACCTGCAAGAGCTGACTTTTGAGTCGACTCAAAGTCGACTCGAACACGAGACGCGAGTATTACTCAGTGTTCGAGACTCCTTGTCATCACACCCACCGACCTGCAAGAGCAATTCACATCATTCTCATCGGGTCTTTCCGCAAGCCTGCCTCTCTTTCTCTTCCTCCGATTCACGTCCCACAGGAGGGCGAGGGAGCACAGGTGATAATTTCACCAGACCTACAGGACTTCCTTCTCTCATCGCTCACTGCAGTGCACTGCGTGCCAGTGACTGTACAGCCCAGGCCCCTCCCATCTCCTTTCACCCTCGCATCTCCTCGCCCTCTCTCTCACCCCACAGGAGGGCGAGGGAGCACAGGTGATAATTTCACCAGACCTACAGGACTTCCTTTTCTCATCGCTCACTGCAGTGCACCGCGTGCCAGTCACAGTACAGCCCATTACTCTCGCGGATCTCTCAGTTTCCCCTCCCAGGTGAGCTTTCTCTTTGTCCACCCTCCGACCTCCCTCTGTAATACCATTCAATAATGTATTTCCCACATTAGCATCAACCATCACTCATCGCTCACTGCAGTGCACCGCGTGCCAGTCACAGTACAACCTATCCCCCTCTCCGACCTCAGTGTGTCACCCCCCAGGTGGGTCAGTCTCAGGATGAGCTCTCTCCCTAATGCCCTTCATCTCACCAGACCTGCACGACTTCCTTCTTTCCTCGCTCACTGCACTGCACCGCATGCCAGTCACAGTACAGCCCATCGCTCTCTCCGACCTCAGCGTCTCCCCTCCCAGGTGGGTCAGTGCCGGGGTGAGTTTTGTCCTCAGTGCCCTTCGTAGAGCCAGACCTGCAAGACTTCCTGCTCTCAGCACTCACTGCAGTGCACCGCGTGCCAGTGACAGTACAACCTATCGCTCTCTCCGACCTCGGTGTGTCCCCTCCCAGGTGAGCATTTCCCAAGTGGGCTCTCTCTCTCTACCTTGGTAATACTATTCAACCATGTCTTCTCCCTCACTAGCACCACCCACCGCTCACTGCAGTGCACCGCGTGCCAGTGACAGTACAACCTATCGCTCTCTCCGACCTCGGTGTGTCCCCTCCCAGGTGAGCATTTCCCAAGTGGGCTCTCTCTCTCTACCTTGGTAATACTATTCAACCATGTCTTCTCCCTCACTAGCACCACCCATCGCTCACTGCAGTGCACCGCGTGCCAGTGACAGTACAACCTATCGCTCTCTCCGACCTCGGTGTGTCCCCTCCCAGGTGAGCATTTCCCAAGTGGGCTCTCTCTCTCTACCTTGGTAATACTATTCAACCATGTCTTCTCCCTCACTAGCACCACCCATCGCTCACTGCAGTGCACCGCGTGCCAGTCACAGTACAGCCCATCGCTTTCTCCGACCTTTCTGTCTTCCCTCCCAGGTGGGTCGTTCTCAGGTGGGTGAGCTGATGAGCCCTCTCCTCTTTTCCGGCAGTGCCCTTCATAGCGCCAGACCTGCAGGACTTCCTTCTCTCAGCACTCACTTCTATCCACTGCGTGCCAGTGACCGCCGTACACCCCATCGCCCTCTCCGACCTCAGCGTTTCCCCTCCCAGGTTAGTGGGTCCCCCCAAGTGTGTTCCGCCCAGCAATTGTACCACCCATCATCGCTCATCGCTCACCGCAGTGCACCGCGTGCGAGTCACAGTACAGCCCATTCGTCTCTCTGATCTTTCAGTCTCGCCTCCCAGGTAAGCTCAGTGCTTCTCCGACCTACCTCTGTATAGCCACTCATTCACCCCTCACTAGCACCACTCATCTCTCATCTCTCACCGCACTGCACCACACACCAGTCACCGTGCACCCCATCGCTCGCTTCGGCCTCTCACTCTCCCCTCCCAGGTGAGCCCTGTCCCCCAGACCTCTCTGTATAGAGCCACTCGATGCCGTCACCATCGCTGCCTTGCGCCTCTTCTTCCTTCCCATCTCCATTCCACATCCTGCCATCTTTTCATCACCAATCCTCATATGTTCCCACCAGAATCGACACTCTCCGCACAATGGAAGCTTCCTTGCGCCTTGACGCCGGCGCCAGTGCTGCATTCCGCCTCTCATCCATCCCTTCTCATCCTCCTATCTCTCCCTCCCCCCACCTTTTTCCACCAGAATTGATACGCTCCGCACGGTGGAAGCTTCCTTGCGTCTCGACGCCGTCGCCAGTGCTGCATTCCGCCTCTCCCGCTCGAAATTCACCGACCTCATAGCGTGAGCTCAGTCCCGCTAATAGTGCGAGCTCATCTCAGCTCACCTCATCTCACCTCATCTCTCTCTGCTTGTGATTTGGCCACTGGTTCACACTCTGACGCCGTTGCCAGTGCTGCCTTGCGCCTCTCCCGCTCAAAGCTCAACTCACCAACCTCATAGCGTGAGCTCAATTCACCTCTGTGTGACCTTGCTTATAGTGCGAGCTCATCTCAGCTCATATCAGCACACCTCATCTCAGCCCATCTCACATCATCTCTCTCTGCTTGTGATTTGGCCACTGGTTCACTGTTGTGTTCTCGCTCCGACGCCGTTGCCAGTGTTGCCTTGCGTTGCGCCTCTCCCGCTCAAAGCTCAACTCACCAACCTCATAGCGTGAGCTCAATTCACCTCTGGCTGCTTGGGGCTGGTCAATTCTGCCCAGCCACAAGCAGCCACTAGGGCGTCTCAGTTGAGCTTTCTTGCCCTAGTGCTCTCATCAGCAGCAAGCCTTCCGCGTCTCCTGCTCCAAAAAGGTTCAACGACCTCATAGCGTGAGCACGCTTCACGACTGCGTGCAATATAGTCCCCTTGCAATATGCTGAGTTTTGAACGGAGGAGTTTCTCTCCAGCTAGACGTGATGCAGTGTGTTCAACTTGCCTCTATTGCGTCGGCCTTCCTGCTCCATCCCTCCTCTGTCCCCCTTGCAACATCAAACCCTGCTCTTTCAGCAAGGAGGACGTGCGGGTGGATTGGAGAGAGGCGGCTAAATCAGGAGTGGTGCTGAAGAGTGGTTACGTGAAAGTCACACTTCCTCTCCATTCATGCCCCCCTCCCTGCTCCCTCCGTGCCCTCTATCCCACTCCACTCCCTCCTTGCCTCCACAACCCACCTCTGTGACTCCAACCTTGCTTTCTCAGCAAAGGAGACGTGCGAGTAAATTGGAGAGAGGCGGCTAAATCAGGAGTGGTGCTGAAGAGTGGTTACGTGAAAGTCACGCCTCCACTCCATTCATGTCCCCCGCCCTGCTCCCTCCGTGCCCTCTATCCCACTCCACTCCCTCCTTGCCTCCACAACCCACCTCTGTGACTCCAACCTTGCTTTCTCAGCAAAGGAGACGTGCGAGTAAATTGGAGAGAGGCGGCTAAATCAGGAGTGTGGTTACGTGAAAGTCACGCCTCCACTCCATTCATGCCCCCGCCCTGCTCCCTCCGTGCCCTCTATCCCACTCTGCTCCCTCCTTGCCTCCACAACCCACCTCTGTGACTCCAACCTTGCTTTCTCAGCAAAGGGGACGTGCGAGTGAATTGGAGGGAGGCGGCTAAATCAGGAGTGGTGCTGAAGAGTGGTGATGTGGTGTCAGTGCGGGGAAAGGGAAGATGCAAGGTGAGGGGGGAATCAGATTAGGGGTTTAGAGGAAGGCATCCGATCAAAGGGGAAGAAAACAGGCCAATCCCGGAGTGTTGCTGAATAGTGGTGATGTGGTGTCAGTGAAGGGAAGGGAAGTGCAAGGCGGGTCAATTTTGTTGTTTCCGAGGCACCTCACGCATAGACAGGACAGGTGGGGTTCAAGAGTGGTGATGTGGTGTCGGTGCGGGGGAAGGGAAGATGCAAGGTGAGGAGGGGGGAATCAGATTAGGGGATCAAGAGGAAGGCATCCGATCAAAGGGGAAGAGAATTTTTTAGGCGCCTCAAAATCAGGGGTTTAGGGGAAGGCATCTGATCAAAGGGGAAGAAAATGGGCCAATCCTGGAGTGGTGCTGAAGAGTGGTGATGTGGTGTTGGTGCGGGGGAAGGGGAGATGCAAGATGAGGAGGGGGGGGTACAAGGCGAGGAGTGGGGAAGTTGGAGGGTGAGGGGAGTCAACCAATCCAGGAGTGGTTCTGAAGAGTGATGATGTGGTGTCGGTGCGGGGGAAGGGAAGATGCAAGGCGCGTCTATTGTTTCTGAGACACCTCACGCATAGACAGGACAGGTGGGGTTGAAGAGTGGTAATGTGGCATCGGTGCGGGGTTGAGAGGGAGGCATGGAGAGGGGACGGAGAAGTGTGGGGGTGCTGGTGATTTAGGGGCTGGCGTGAAAGAGTGGAGATGTGGTGTCGGTTTGGGGGGAAGTGAAGATCCCCTCTCGATTTGGATGGTAGGCCGTCAAGAGTGAATGGGAGGTCCGCCCTTGGTTTGGGGGGGATGAGAGGGAAGCAAAGAAAGGGAGGGGGGTTTGTGGGAGTGGTGCCGAATTGAGGTTGGTGTGAGGGAGTGGAGATGTGGTGTCGGTTGGGGGCAAAAGGGAAGGGGGGGAGGGGGGAGGTGCGATGTTGCAAGGTGAGGGTGCGGTATTATGCTGAGAGGTGAGCAGAGAGGGGGAACAGGGTGGGGAAGTGAGGCTTGGTTGGGAGGTCATCTGTGTTTTCAATAGAGCGCAGCATGGTTGGGATATGGGAATGATCCTCAATACTAGCATTGGGTCTTCTTCTCAATGTGCGGCAAATGTGCTACACGGTTCCCCATGTGTATGCATGACATGCAGATTGGAGAGGTTACAACTACCAAGAAAGGACGCTTCGCGGTGGAGATCACGAGGTATATCTGACAAAAGCTATCCCTTTATATCGTACGCTGTGACACCCTATTGTGAAACGCTGTACCGTGAAGGTACCATAATGTACGTATGGCATAATCTCGAATGAAGGGACGGCTGCTGAATTGTGGTGGTGGTGATATCACAAGCTTACACCATGAAGAACAAGGGTGCCCGGAAATTGAAGAAACGAATAGCCGATATACAATAATATAGCTATGTGGGGATATTGAGGCGAAGCAAAAGATGCTGAAGGTTGACAGCCTTTATTGCACTTGCCGTCATTCAGGTATTTTACTAACGGGTACGTTCGATTTTGACGTCTTGAAATTTTGTTCTTCACATCACATGGGCGTTTTTCCCCACCAACCACGTTCGACACCACAGCATCCCCAAGATTTTGCCGAGAACCCCAAGCGTGTAAACAGACCAGTGCACTGTACACGCATAAGGCATCATCATGTCTTTCACACATCGTCCGAACTGGGATAGGTTCGGGGTTCCACCGAACCATCCCTGCTTGCAGCACGGACGGCCAGACGAATGTCCTCCGAACCAATCGGGCCGATTACGTCTGGGACAAGCCACACCCTCAGTTCTTGGCTCGGAAAGTGCAGTACAACCAGCCTGAGCCATCAGAACCCCTCATATATCGCTGCTAAGCTTCTTTTTCTTTAGTTTCTGTCGCCCTCATAACCTTGAGAGTTAGGCTCTGTGCTCTTTTCGAGCATAACTCGGCACAGCCGTGCACAGCTTATCCTAACGTCAAGGCCGACTGGGTCAATCTTTAAAGCGGTCAATAGATTCCGTGTTTTATAAAAGTGAAAGAACGGTATATAGCTTTAGTGGCACTATCGCCATGGCGGAACCCTCGCCAGCACTGCCGAGCCAAACAGCCATGGTGCTTGACGAGGGGAGCCAACCAGTGGATCTAGTCAAGCACCCCTCGGGAATTGTTCCTGTATTACAGTATGTTCCTTTCCCGCCATAAAAGTTGGTCCTATGTTGGTACAAGGCCACGTGAAGCTTTGTTTCTGCTGTGGAGGACGTGGGTTCAAATTCGACGTACCCGTCGGCGAGTGGGTGTTTTCTCTTTCTTTCGCTCTTGCAGAAACATAGTTTCTACAGTCAACATGGACTGTCGGCTGGATTTGAAAGAAATTGCACTCCGAGCTCGAAACGCCGAGTACAACCCTAAGGTACGGGCTGGTGCACTCCGACGCTCCTAGTTCGACGTCCAAGTAAGTAGGTATAGAGGTCAAGCCTAAATCGTGGGGGATGTCGGTTATTACGCTTCCGCCTCTGTTGTAGGGATGGCCACTGTTGAGCCTTTAAGGAGCTTGTGTGAATTAGACCGTGGTCTTAGCTAGGCTTACTGGCGAGCCGCAATGGCTGAGTGTTGTGTTGTTAAAGAACGCTCAAGCTTATGTTTCGGGTCTCCGGTTTCTCCTCTCCGTGCCTCCAGCGTTTCGCAGCTGTCATCATTCGGATACGCGAGCCCAAGACAACAGCTCTTGTGTTCGCTTCTGGAAAAATGGTAAGGAGCCTTTTTGTTGTGAATTCGGTATCTCGCGAGTCCACGACTTCTGTTCGTCGTGTCTTTGCTTCTTAAGCATTGAGTTATCAAGCTCGCTTCCAAACCCGTAGATTGCATTAACAACTCTATGTCCCTCCGCTTCCCGGATGTATCAGGTGTGCACTGGCGCGAAGAGTGAAGAGCAATCGCGGTTAGCTGCACGCAAGGTAACCCCCACTTGTAGCGCTGGCCTTGTGTCATTGTTATGGCCTTCTCACTTTTCCCTGTTTCCCCTTCCCCTTCACCACAATCTCTCCTTTCTTGGCGTCCTTTTCGTAAGGCGCACAGGATGGAGGCTGATTATGATCGTCCTTGTTTCTCCTCCCTGTTTTTCTCCTTTTATGGCAGTATGCTCGTATCATTCAAAAGCTTGGCAACGACCAAGTAAAGTTCAAAGTAAGTATTGTCTTGTCTTGTCTTGGTAACCTTATTTAAGCTATTTTTTGCATTCATGTAACGCTTTAACTGTTGCTCACGTTCCCCATTTGTTGATGCTGACACATTTACGTCTTCCAGGATTTTAAGATTCAAAATATTGTCGGTTCCTGTGACGTTCGCTTCCCGATCCGTTTAGAAGGACTTCAAATCGCCCATCAACAATTTTGCAGCGTAAGTCTTCCTGTACACAAGCCCAGCCATGCATCATCTTGTGCTCTTGTAATAGTACCTTGTATCTCATGGGTGCATTATCGCCTTGAGTCAGCTTGTGATGATACCTTTCATCTCATGTGCGTATTTTTATTGACGGTTACTCCGTTGTCGTTACCTCTCTTTCTGACCATGCTGCAGTACGAGCCAGAGCTTTTCCCTGGCTTGATATACCGCATGAAGCAGCCCAAGATCGTGCTCCTCATTTTCGTGTCAGGGAAGATCGTTCTTACTGGTGCCAAGGTGCGTTATAGTGGACCGTGTGTGCCTAGGTCTCCTGGGTGTGTCCTGTTGCAGGATATTTAGCCTTGTCTTCTTTTTTTTTATTTTTTTTTATTCTGTGAAAGTCATTTTCTTTCTCACGTTTGTGCTGCAGGTGCGAGATGAGATCTACCAGGCGTTTGAGAACATCTATCCGGTGCTCAACTTATACAGGAAAATTCAAGCAGGTGTGTTGACCTTGGTGACAGCCTTTGCAGTTGGTGCAAATGCTAGCTATGTTTTGGATGGAAACGGTTTGTTTGTATGCTGGATACTGTATCTATGTTGGTAAGGGGTGTGCCTCGGTGTGTGCGTGGATGTGTGTTTGCGTTGTGCGTGGATGTGTGTGCGCATGTGTCTGTGTGTTCATGATGTGATGCCTCTTGTCCTGTTGCTGTGTGTACAGAGCCACTTCCACCTCCTCCTGCTGAGTCATGAGTCAAGCTAAGGGGATCAACAGCTGCATTTTGCAGCACTGCAATCAACTTATGGGCTCCCACAAGATGGCTAGTGCATTTACAAGGAGACGTGAAGATCACCTTATAAGCAGCTTGTGCAGGGATGAGATTAAAGAGTTGGTCTCATCTGCCTTTGTGCCACATTGAAATGCTTAATACTGCCTTATGCGTGGTGGCTGCTCTTCTCATTTTCGATGTGTACCGTGCACTTGCTATGTAGTTGGGAGTCCATGTCAATCCCTCAGCAGTTCAATAAAACCCTGGTGTTCTGTATCATTCCACAGAATCGTTATGAGCAAAAGCCATGCCATCGTATATTCTTTCATGTTTTATGAAGTATCATTGTTTCCACATTCAGCTGACATTGCTCTCCGAATGACTCGCCGCGTTCGCAAAAAATTCGTCCACTTCCGCATTCTGGCGTCGCACACTACGGTGTTGGATCAAGCACAGTTCACAGTTTACCACTGCTTTGAAAAGTACTCAACCGCACAAATCGATTGTAATCATCGCGCGCCATTCAGCGGAGTCCGCTATTTCTCAGCAGCACAGATTAGATCAGGAATTTCCAGTACAAAACAGCAGCCTCATAAGCACGTATTCATCAGCATTTCAGTCAGAAGGTTTGCACGCTGCTAGCACGCGCGCGCGCATCATGGCAGTAACCCCGTTTCTCGGAACGCTGGCCGCCGTCCTAGTAGCCGTTTTTGTCAGCTTGCAGTCGCTCTTAAACTCTAGCGAATTCCGTCCGCTTCCCTTCCACCCTCCGCCGCCTCCCGCGCCTGTCGGTCCGTTCGCCGCTAACGACCGTCTGCTTGCCGTTAAGAAACTCGCTCTAGGAAAAGTTCGCGGTCCGGAAGACGTACTTCCTGACGCTAAGGGAAACTTATACTCGAGCGACACGAATGGATGGATTAAGATTCTGAGGAAAGGCGACGTGGAGCCCCGTGATTGGGTGCACGTAGGCGGGCATCCGCTGGGGCTTGCGTGGCGGAAGGATGGGCGAGAATTGGTGGTGTGCGAGGCGGTGAAGGTATGTTTCAAAGTGCAAAGCTTATGAAGGTTTGCCTGATAGTGCAAAGTCAAGAGGAGATATACTAAAATCAGAAAAACTCAAATGAGGTGGATTATAAATCAAGAGGAAACAGGCGATTTGTCAAACCGAAAAGGCAATAGGTAAACTGCAATTTATATTTTGTTGACGAGAAGGAGAGGGATTGCCCAAAGTGACTCATAACTTCCCTTAAGAGGTGGAGTGGAAGGATTTGGCAGAAATGATCACCTGAACGAGCCTTTAGCACAAGAGGCGGAGAGATTTGTGGTTGGCAAGAACCTTGTTCCCCTCTCTGTTGTCCCTCTCTCCCCTCCCCAGGGTCTCCCCTTAGTTGACGTGGAGACTCGCGCCATTCTAATCTCCATATTTCTTGAGTCGACTCGAAATTCAACTTCTGAGGCGCCTCAAAATTCAGTTTTCTAGAAGTCAACTTTGTTCCACTCTCTTGTCTCTCTCCCCTCCCCAGGGTCTCCTCCTAGCGGACGTGGAGACTCGCTCCATTCGTCTAATCTCCAATTCCTCCAACGGAATCCCATTCAGGTCTGATCATCTAATGCTCCCTTCGCCTGCACCCTCACTCCCACCTCTCCAGATATTCTGCCCTGCCTTTCTTCAAGGATCGTGTGTGGCACCGATTGTCCAGTCATGTTCCTATGTCCGCAGCCCACCTGTCCTTTTCTGACAAGTCCTATGTTTCCTGTCCCTAGCTATCCCTCCTCCTCAACCCCCCACCCTCCTCTCCCTTCCCCTTCCGAAATCTGACCCTTTGATACCTGCCCTGACCATGTTTGCTGACCACCCATCAGAATAACCGACAACGCTGACGTGGCGAGCGACGGAACCATCTACTTCTCGGATGCTTCCTCGCACTATCCCATCTCACATTTCTTTCTCGACATTCTGGAGCAGAGGCCCTACGGCCGCCTGCTCAGAGTCAACCCAGACGAGCATAAATCTGAGCTGGCAGATGAGCCACGTCATCAAGAGGATGAGGATGCCACGTCAGCAGGGACCTCCAGCGGGGCGGGGCCTGTCGAGGCAGAGACGCTTCTGGATGGGCTCTACTTTGCGAATGGAGTGGCGCTGTCGCAACATGAGGACTTCGTTGTGGTGGCTGAAACTAGCAGGTAAGCCAAGGAAAATATATAGAAAAATCGTCTTCAAGTACCGTTTGGGTCGGCTTAAAACAGGAAATGGGCAATTTTCACTTCAAGACGAATTTTCTATATATTTTTTAATTTCAAATTTCCCTCTGAAATGGGCAATTTTCCCTTATATTTCCCTCCAGTGGGGTTTACTTGAACTGGCAATTCATTGGACCATTTTTATGTGCCGGCTCCCCTTCTGCAGGTATCGCCTGACCCGCTATTGGCTCAAAGGACCGAAAGCGGGCACGTCAGAAATATTTCTGGACAACCTGCCCGGGTCGCCGGACAATGTTAACAGCAACGGAAAGGGTCTCTTCTGGGTGTGCCTTGTCATTGTAAGTTTTGATGAGCGCTCCGCTCTTCACACATGCCGATTCACAGAACCAGCAATCATGCCGATTCACAGAACCAGCAATCATGCCGATTCACGGAACCAGCAATCATGCCGATTCACATAACCAGCAATCATGCCAATTCATAGAACCAGCAATCATGCCGATTCACAGAACCAGCAATCATGCCGATTCACAGAACCAGCAATCATGCCGATTCACAGAACCAGCAATCATGCTGATTCACAGAACCAGCAATTTGAAAGGGTTTTTTTTTCTGGGTGTGCCTTGTCACTAAGAAACGGGGTCATACAGATACTAGCCTTGGGGATCTACGAGCAATCAGAAGCACCTTTTCTCTACCGTATTGAATGCCCTCTTTGGCCTATTGCCTTTCGAGTACCCCCGTCTGACCTCTTTGTTATGAAAGCGCTACGTCCCTCACCCCGTAGGTTCCCTCTTAGTGCCAAGCTGTAGTGTGCTAGAGCGTGAAACAGCGATTTCCACTAGTTCGAGAGAATTACAGACGAGAAAGCAAGGAGGGGATGGGAGGGAGGAGCCTTACCCCACCCCAGGCTGCACGTTTCCACATGTGCGGCTCGGGTGGGGGGTTACCAGGTTTGACCCTTTTCGCCTCTCGAGGCCTTTTCCCTCCCAAATCCAACCGCTCCTATCCCATTTCCCCCCTTCTACACCCCTTCCCAACAGTAATTATGTTTCCTACTACACCTAATCCTACTTGTTGTTTCCTATTCTTATAACCAGCTAGCCTTCCTATAATTGTAGTGTCCAGCCCACCCTGTTACATCCTTGCACTGTTATTGCATATGCATTAAGTGCATATGCGGTGACACTCCCCCTCCCCCTCTCCCCTGCTTCCGCCCTCCCCCTCCCCCTTTCCCCTGCTTCCGCCCTCCCCCTCCCCTTTTCCCCTGCTTCCTCCCTCCCCCTCCCCCTCCCCCTGCCCCTCGCCCTCTCCCCTGCTTCCGCCCTCCCACACCACCACGCAGCCTCGGCAACCTGTCATGGACCTGGTCCATCCCTTCCCTCTCCTGAAGGCCCTCATTGGCCTGTTGCCTCTCAAGTAGGACTCAAGGTTCACGCTTTTCCCCCGCTCCTTCCCTCCCACACCACCACGCAGCCTAGGCAACCTCTCATGGACCTGATCCATCCCTTCCCTCTTCTGAAGGCCCTCATTGGTCTGTTGCCTCTCAATTAGGACTCAAGGTTCACGATTTTCCCACGCTCCTTCCCTCCCACACCACCACGCAGCCTAGGCAACCTGTCATGGACCTGATCCATCCCTTCCCTCTTCTGAAGGCCCTCATTGGTCTGTTGCCTCTCAAGTACCTCCAGCTGCCCTTCCTCGCTTCCACGATGCGCCATGCTGGTGCCGTGCTGGCGGTGAATGAAGACGGGCAGGTTGTGAATTTTCTTAATGACCCGACAGCGAAACACGTTGGGGGTTTTACGAGCGCCCGCGAGGTTGATGGCGGAAAGGAGCTGGTGTTTGGCAGCCTCTTGAACAATTTCATTGGTAGAGTGGCTGTGGAATGATGAGCCTTGTGCCTGAAGTAACTCAACTGTGTCAACAATGTGTCCTTATACAGAGTGAACTGCAAACGCAGGTGTAATTGTGCTTTCAGATGGTGTTGAGCGAACATCTGGACACAATGAATTCGAATGTATCATTGTTCTGGGCACATCTGAACCAGGCTGTGATTTTACTTCAGCTAGTAAATTGGAACAAGTTCATTAAAGCCCGGGGTCCAAGCTTCAGTCCCAAGTTGCACAAGAGTAGAGACGTTCTACGTAAAATAGCAATTGTACGGCCTCTGGTGGGTAAATTACGCAGCTTTCCACCATGAAACGATCAGAAAATTATGGTTAGGAAGGGTACCACTATACCATACTGAACAAGGCACGTCCTTGCCCCTGCTAAGTTCATGACTGACTGTCTTGATGAATGTAACTACTCAGGTTTTAGATGTATTAACTGAATCACACTTTCCAGCTGTCCGACCTTAGTGAGTTAGTACCATAGTTCCCTTTCAGGCATCAGCTGTCATCTTCATCCTCACGTTGCGCTCCGTGTCTGTGTCAGCCTTTACCTTCGTGGATCCAGTAACCTGAAGGCAGAACGCAGAAGTGCGGCGTTGCTCAATAGGACGTGGTGACCATATTTGCATGCCAAATGAATTTCACTAAGAAAGGCGACATTCCATGGCAAACGTATTAACAGGCACTTTTAGCTATCGGAAGCACAGCACGCGCTTCATTTAGACAACCTTGGAGGTGGAGACGATGAGGTCCACGACGCGGTTGCTGCAAGAACAGGAAGGTAACAGCACATGTTAGATGTCAATTCCCAGCAGAGATTCAGTAAAGCGCAGAATTAGGTGATCTTCTCAGGATCGGCAGCGCGTACCTGTATCCCCACTCGTTG